ACATGAGGTCATCATGCCTGACAGCAAGTCCACCTCACTGTCATGGACTTCAGCTACTGTTGTCACACAATGTGCAAAGAAACCTTGGTTGCTTCCTGATGCTTGTGAAGTTCTTGAAGGTGCAGGTAAAGAACGTGGCTGTTGTTGATTTGCGTAGTTTGCATCTTGTTTGCCATCTCCTTTATCTTTTCCTTTTCCTTTCTTGCCTTTTCTCTTGCCTTTTCCTTTTCCTTTGTGGGAAAACCATGCTTCTTCAAGCTGTTGCCAAAAGTCATTGGCATCTTCATATTCTCCTTGAAGATAGTCATTCATATCGTCGGCAAGGATAGCATCATATGCTACTTGATTTGACTCCCAAGTGTCCTCATAAGGATTCTCTTCATAATACTCTTCTGGATAAGTTGTCGATTGCTCATCAGCATAATGGCCTTTACCTCATCTCTTTCCTTTTCCTTTTCCTCGAGGTCTGAAAAATCTGCGGCCTGATCTTCCTTTTCCTTTTCTTCTTCCTTTGCCTTTGCCTTTTCTGGCTCTTCTTCCTTGGAATCTCCTCTGGAACCAAGAGAAATTCTGTTCATCATATACCCAAAAGACATCGTCCAGGGCATCTAGGAATCCTTCTGTTCCATCTTCTTCATCTTCGGCCCAATAGACAAATGTACCATCGAGTTCTCCTTCGTCTAGTACGAGAAATGATCTTCTACCTCCAGCACCTGTTGGCTGCATAAGAGGATTGTCTACTGAAGTCTTTGTTGTGCAGAACATCTCAATGAAAACTGTCCTCAACTCTGTTGTGGTGTATTGCTGCAGGACTCTACCACGATGAGTCATCAAAGAGGTCAAAGTGTTCCTCTGGTCCTGAGACAAACCCGCAAGTGACAGCATGAGTAGGGCAATCAGATTTTCTCCCAAAGGAAAATCATTCTGATGAAAAGTTCTCATATTGCCATTGATGGTCTGCATGATTTCCTGAATCCTTTCTGCCGTTGGAGCTACTCCAGTCAACGCTGCATCAGCCTGCATCTGAGCTAGGACCTGAGGATGTGCTTGTGTGACTGGCTCTAACATGTCCATCCAACTGCTCATAAGCCTTTGGAGTAAAATCTGAAATCTTGTCATCCACTTCATCATGTCGGCTGATCCTCGATTGAATCGCACGAATTGCATAAACCTGTATAGGAATACATTGGTTGATCCTTTCACAAAATATGGTCGTAGTACTCTCTTGAAGTAATCTACTCCAGCTCCTGGTGGCTCATTAGCCTTCAATGCATCTCTGTCTAAACCTCGCTTGTATACAGCTGCTTCTCCTTCTAGTCGGTTTCTCAATGCTGGTCCTCTCTTCTCATCCTCCAGCTCGGTGATATCACACCAATCGTCTATGGCATCCTCATAGGAAAACCATGAAGTCTTTCCATCATAAGATGGGGGCACCTTTGTAGTGACCTGTGTTGTCATTGCTATAGCTGCTGGTTCTCTTCTCACATGCCTATTCACGTAGGCTGCTGGCTCATAAGCCACATCCGCATCAGGCTCTTCCCAGTCGTCAATCCAATCCATGGCCGTTTGCCCACAAGCAATTCTATGCCTAGGAAAGGAGCTCACCTGGGTCTTCCAGGATCACTGCTCCGCTACCACTGAAAGAGTGACTAGGGCGTACACGGTAGAGGTGCAGACCGCTAGTGTCTTTTGCTCACGCAGAGTCTTATCCTATATCTCTTGAGCCTTATGGCAGTCAAGCATGGACACACTAGATAGGCCACTGGAGTGGAACCTGTACAAGTATGCCTATACATTTCAGGGGGGGGGGTCGAATCAATTGATTTATCAAT